ATCTGTATTGTTCTAATGATAAAGATTAAGTGACTTCTAAATAACTTTCTTGTGAGCATCAGTTGTTTCTTCTCCCCACTTGACCAAAATCAATGCCTTGTTAAAATAAGATACAATGTTGATTTAATTATCTGGGTAATTCGGCCAGCAATGGCGCGATCTTGGCTCACAGCAACCTCCACCTCCTGGGTTCAGGCAATTCTCCTGCCTCAGCCTCCTGAGTAGCTGGGATTACAGGCACGCGCCACCATGTCCAGCTGATTTTTTGTATTTTTAGTAGAGACGGGGTTTCACCATGTTGACCAGGATGGTCTTGATCTCTTGACGTCGTGATCCACCCGCCTCGGCCTCCCAAAGTGCTGGGATTACAGGCGTGAGCCACTCTGCTTTTCTTAAAATGAACTTCTTGGTCATAATATCCCTTTACTGGAAGTCCTTTTAATCATCCTACATCTGTTGAGTTTTTAAAATTCAATATACAGGCAGTAGCTGGTGGCTCACCCTTGTAATCCCAACATTTTGGAAGTCAAGGTGGGTGGATCAGCTGAGCTCAGGAGTTTAAGACCAGCCTGGGCAACATGGTGAAACCCCATCTCTACAAAAAATACAAAAATTAGCCTCGCATGGTGGCACATACCTGTGGTCCCTGCTACTCAGGGAAGTGAGGTAGGAGAATTGCTTGAGCCTGGGAGACGGTGGCTTCAGTGAGCCGAGATCACACCACTGCACTCTAGCCTGGGCAGCAGAGCGAGACCCAGTCTTAAAAAAAAAAAAAAAAAAAAAATCAATATACGATAGCTAAGATTAAATTTAGATCTAGTCTGAGAATTAGTAAAGCTACAACTTATTCCTAAATTGATAAGGGCCAGGTGTGTATGGGCTTGAACCTTAGCTCTGCCATTTACTATCCGTGTTATCTTGAACCATTACCTCACCATGCGCAGATCTCCCATTCTTTCCTCATATATGTCATATGCTGAGATACAGGCACATACTAGGTGCCCAATCAATGGAAGTGATTAATATCTTGCTTCTCAATCTGTAAAAATGGAGATAAAATAATTCTAGATATGCAATGACCATAAAGCATTTTATATACCTATAGGGCTCTATATTACAAATGTTATTTCAGTTTCTGTAAAAGTAGATGTGTTCCCATTTTCTATGGTACCTGCTTTAATATTAAAAGGAGATCATTTTATTCTGTAGAGCTTTTTTTAGTATAAAATTCAACCTCTCCCACTCACCACCTCAAATTACTGCCACTACCAAAATTGAAAAAATGTGATAATAGGTTTTGCTAGTTTTGTTACAGTAAATATTCCATAATACTTGGTTTCCTCCCTGATTGAGCTAAAAAAATGACAAAGAAACCTATATACAACAGGTAATGTTCATGGAGAATATCAGAAATTTCTGTAGAGATTGTTACAGGCTCTTTCCTAGCCCTTCCCTACACACTGGCTCTGGGGTCATTAACAGGTAATTCTTTTACATGGTCACATATGTGCAACTTATTTATTTAAGTTTCAGTGGAATCTTATACATAGCTGGATTTCCATTAAGATCTGTGCATTTTTTTTTTAAAAAAAAAAACCATAAACTGTAATATTTATAGTCATAAACTACCTCATCTAAGAAACATTTAACATGATTTTGCTATTGTTCTGTTCTTGACAAACCAGGAACTTAAAAGCTCATGAGATGTTTTATTTTTTAATTTTGCATTTTTTTCTTTCTTTTCTTTCTTTCTTTTTTCTTTTTTTGATGCAGTCTCACTCTGTCACCCAGGCTAGAGTGCAGTGGCGCAATCCTGGGTCACTGAAACCTCTGCCTCCTGGAGTTTACACAATTCTCCCACCTCAGCCTCCGGAGTAGCTAGGATTACAGGCATGCAACACCATGCCTGGCTAATTTTTTTTTTTTTTTTTGTATTTTTTAGTAGAGACAGGGTTTTACCATGTTGGCCAGGCTGGTGGGACCTCAAGTGATCCACCTGCCTCGCCTCCCAAAGTGCTGGGATTATAGGTGTGAGTCACTGCACCTGGCCTCCCTTTTTTTTTTTTTTTGAGATGGAGTCTTGCTCTGTCTCCTAGTCTGGAGTGCAGTAGCACAATCTTGGCTCACTGCAACCTCCACCACCTGGGTTCAAGTGATTCTCCTGCCTCAGCTTCCCAAGTAGCTAAAATTACAGAGGCCTGACATTGCTTCCAGCTAATTGTGTATTTTTTAGTAGAGACGTGGTTTTGTCATGTTGGCCAGTCTGGTCTTGACTCTTGACCTCAGGTGATCCACCTGCCTCAGCCTCCCAAAGTGCTGGAATTATAGGCATGAGCCACCACATCCACCTTTTTTTTTTTTTTTTTTTTTTTTTTCTATCTAAATAGAGATGAGGTTTTACTATGTTGCCCAGGCTGGCTGGTTTTGAACTCCTGAGCTCAAGTGATCCTCCCACCTTAGCCTAGGCAATCTTCTAGCCTCAGCCTCCCTAAGTGCTAGGATTGTCCTCACAAAGTAACAGAATCATAGCCATGAGGCTCCTCGCCCAGCCTAATTTTGCATTTCTTAATCATGTCAAAAGCATATGAACGTGAGGCTGCATTTACCTTTGTACTCCCATGCTACCTCTCCATCTTAGGAATTGTAAATCTCTGGCGAATGAACCATCATTCACTCCCAACAAGGTGCAATACATGTGCCCGCTTGGCGGCAGGACCTACATGTGTCCATCTGTCTAGAACTCCATATAAACTCAAGGGCTGAATATTTTCAGCTAACCTAGACCCACTTTTGCAAACTGGTTCATTTCTCTCCCTCTTTATTGTGCTTCAGAAGAGATGGGGTAAAATGTTCTTCTATTCATCACCCACACATACCAGGCCACTCTTCAGCTCCCACTGTAATTCTTTCCCTCCAGTTTAATGCTGAGAAAGAGTAAGTCAGTCTCGTTCTCTCACCCTGCAGCATTTTGCAAAACAATTATCATTTGACACCAGAAGGCAACGCAAGGTTTTGAAAACCTATCAATTTCTTTCCCCCATCTCTCCACCCCTAACTGTGATAAAATATCTCCACCACCAGGCAGCCTGTAACCTCATGAACACTCTGGTGTTTTTAGGAAAAGGACCTCGAATGACACTTGTTGATAGCATTTTGCTTCTCTACAAAAACAAAACTCTGTTAAGTACTTTGCTTACATCAGCTATGAGAATCAGGTTGGCTATGTTTTAAGGATGAGTTAGAATTACTAGACCTGAGAAGATAAACCATCTGGATAGCTGTCTCTTATGTTTAGCCTCCCTTTTGTGACTTCAGGAGATTCTTTTTCTTATACTAAAATCAAATCATTAAATCAAGGCAAAAGGGAGGCAATATTGTGGTATGTGTGAGGTGGTTTAATGATGGCACAGACTACTCTTGTTTCCACTAGTTATCTCTATATGATTCTTACATGCACACAAACACACACCAGTTCCGATGAGCAGCCTGGGCTTTGTGACAACCTTTGCGGCAGCTCCACGAAGATAAGCCTTAAAATAGGAAAAGGCTTGGGTGAATACACAGTATTTGACTAATCTAAAATGGGGAATTCAGTAAATTCGTGTCTAAAAGCTTTTCTACAGATTGTAGGAAATGTTCGAAGTCACCAGTTACTTAAGAAAGAAGGGAGGGTGGGCGGGAACAGGGTGCAGCAGGGAAGGAGAAGCCCTTGGGGTACCCTTGTGAGGCACTGGCAGGGCACAGTGGCAACAGAGAGACAACATTTTATCAAAGGACACTGGTTGGCTCTCTAAACAAAGGTCTCTAGAGAATATGCCACAATGTGAACACCTATCACCAATAAAATTCAAAGTAAAAAGTAGCTTATAATGTGGGCTACATATTAGGGACTTATTGAGTTGCAATCATTCAAAAGTTCAGAGCACAGAATCCAAATAGATATGTGTCAAACGAAGGAGTCAAACAAATCTCCGGTTTGCAACTGCCTTCCGAAAGCTGTTAGGCTTTTACAACGAGCACTGCATCAAAATAGGTGCATATTCTATATAAATATCCGTTAAAGTCTCTTTACTTAAAAGGAAAGACAGTACCATAACACAGGAGTGCCTTTCGTCGCACGCCGTGGCCACTTCGGACACCTACCCATCAGGTTAGTGTGCCACTGCCTCCCCATCACCAAATCCTCTCCGGGCCTTAGAACGCAGCTGCATCCCGCTGGTGGCCCTGCCAAAACGGTCCCCACATGCAAAGTGCAGGGTGTCAATGCCCCCATCGCTGGAGAGCCTGCAGCGCTAGATTTGCAATGACGCCACATGGAGAAAACATGAAAAGAAACAAGGACGAGAAGGCGACACTAAACAAAAACGTGCTCCCCTTCTTTAGTGGTCCATGAAAAAAAAAAAAAAAAAAAAAAAGAAAAGAAAAAAGAAAAGAAAAGGAGAGGAAGAAAAGAAAAAGGAAAAGGAAAAAAAGAGATCCCAAACTAGAAATGGTCAAGACCGCCTTATCAGGACACATTCGGGATACTCCTAATCCTTACCTGGGCTGCGAAACAAATGTTTAAAAATTAGAAGTACCTGGGAAATCAACTTGGACGCATTATAAAACAGAATCTCCCACCGTCACCATTTTCACCAGTCATGGATAAATAAAAACCCAGCACTTAAGCTACTAGAAACTACATTTTAATTACAGAGCTGAGGTTTACATAATCGCAAATTACATAATACCGCTGTGCACTAAAAACCCTTCCATAGGTGAAGCTTCACACCATCCGGTCTTTTTAACATTTTCCAGAGAGGGCTGGAAAAGTCTGCTGAATAATTGAGGGGAGGGAGGGAATGGGGTGCTGGAAAAGTCACCCTTGACAAGCTGCACAGTCGACCAAACGTTCCAGGATAAAGAGGGACTCCGAGCAGGTGACTCCCCTGCGCCCCCGTGTCCGGGCATCTAAGGCCAAGGCAGGGCGAGCGGGCGCGGGGCGCAGGGCCGGGGCTTACCTGCTCCCCGAAGTCGATGGCTATGTTGGTGATGCCCAGGGGCACCAAGAACCGGATCAGGGGCCAGTAGTGCGTGAGCGCCGGGAATTTCACCATAGTCCCCGCCGTGGGCTGACCCCACACACATCTGCCGCCGCGAGAGGACTCTGCGGGGAGGCGAGGGGCGCGGGGCGAGCGGGGCGCGGGCCGACTGAGGCCGCGTGTGGCGGGGCCTCCGGCGGGGCGGCGGCTCCTCCTCGCGGCTGCGGCGCCTTCTCCGAGCGCGGCTGCTCTAGCAGGGGATCCGCAAGCTCAAGTCCATCCCTGCTGCCCTCCCACACAACAAAGATCTGCCGGGAAAAAAAAGAGGAGGGACGGCGGCGGCGGCGGCGGCAGAAGGTTCTGCTGACAGCGGCTCCATTATAAGCGCTCTGGGGCCCGGAAATAAATAACCGCGCGCACGAGGCGCCGCCGCCGCCGCCGCCGCCCGGAGGAAATCAGGGGCGGGCGCGGAGGCGCGGACACTGCCGGCGGCCCCGGGGGCGGGCTGGGGAGGGGGCCGGGCCGGGCCGGGCGCGCCGCGGCCTCTTTCCCTGAGCCGCTGCCTGCGCTCTGCACGGCCGCTGGGGGCGCTGCGCTCGTTCAGGCCGCGGGGTGGGCGCCTCCGGGGCGCGGGGCGGGGCTCTCCGCGGAGCCTTGGCCGGCCCGGGGGCGGCGGCGCTGAGGGCGCGGCGGGGACGGCCTGGGGACGCGGGGGCGCCGGCGGGGGGCGGGGGCGTTGGGCCGCCTAGAAGTCCCGGGGCGCCCCGGCTCCGCGGCCGGGCCCTGTCTCCCGCGTGCTGCGGGGCCGGGGACTGGGGTTCCCGCGCTGGGTTCCCCAGGAGGGCCCGGGCGTCTGGAAGACTTGGCAGCCGGGGCAAGCGACGTGGGCGCGGACGCGCGAGGGGGGCCGGGGCGCGGGACTCCGCACCGCGGGGCTGGGAAGGGCGCCGTCCCGCGGTGGCCCGGCTGGCGACGGGCGGGGACTGCGGAGGAGGCAGCTCTCGCCGGGGCTGGGGCCTGCTTCAGAGGACTAGCGGCCTGGGAGGGATGGAGGTGCCGCTCCGGGAGAGCGAAAGACGCGAGGAAAGGTCGCGGAGGAGGGAGCCTGTCACCCAGGGTTTCCAGGGGAGACTGTGGCCCGCGTCCCTGGGGAAAAAATGCGCCAGGGCAGGAGGGAGCGATCCCTGCAGGCGCCCAGGCTGAGGCCGGCCGCCTTCTGGGGCGCTCAGACCTGCCTGCTGCAGGCAGTTTGCAAACAGTACGCCCGATTCTTTTCATTGCAAAAAAGCCCTATTAAAAATAACTCGTTACGCCTATCATCTCTTAAATAAAGGGGAAGAAGGAGAAAAGTGTGTTCTGTTTTGTAATACCTGATTTCAGAGTAACTAGTCGCGGCGCTGAGAGTTTGACCTAAAGCTCAGCAGTGTGACAGCAACGCCAGCATCCATCCCCGCACCCCAGCACTGTGTGCCGCGAGGGAGGAGGACCCGGGGAATGAAAAGGGACTCTGGACAGGGCTGGCTTCACGACCGTGCGACCTGTGCAGTCACAGAGTGCCCGCGCTTAGGACTAACTCGCTGCTGTTACTCTCTTGAATTTGAATAAGGATCACTGCGTTTTCATTTTGTACTGGGCCTGGCATAGTAGTGGCCTATGGTGGTCTTATTTTGTACTCCCTCTCACACACATCTCTTTGTGTTTAATAAACATGATAAAGTAATTTATTATTAAAAGTAAGAAAGTGTCTTGTGCCTAGAATGGACCTATTAACTCACAATTTAGCTTTGTAAAGTTTTTGTAAATAGTGAGCTTGAGACCTCAATATCCTGGATTCAGGTATTTCCCAACTATTTTGAAAGTATTAAATGTGTCTATAGGCGGGGCGTGGTAGTGAGCGCCTGTAGTCCCAGCTACTCGAGAGGCTGAGGCAGGAGAATTGCTTGAACCCGGGAGGTGGAGGTTGCAGTGAGCCGAGATTGTGCCACGGCACTCCAGCCTGCATGACAGAGCAAGACTCCCTCTCGAAAAATAATAAATAATCCACCACTTTGGGAGGCCGAGGCAGGTGGATCACTTGAGGTCGGGAGTTCGATACCAGCCTGAGCAACATGGAGAAACCCAGTCTCTATTAAAAATACAAAAAATTAACCGTGCGTGGTGGTGCATGCCTATAATCCCAGCTACTCGGGAGGCTGAGGCAGGAGAATCGCTTGAACCTGGGTGGCAGAGGTTGCAGTGAGCAGAGATTGCGCCATGGCAATACAGCCTGGACAAAAAGATCGAAACTCTGTCTCAAACTATACAATAAATAAAGAAATATTTTCATATTTTACATCCTTTTAAAATACCTTTTTGAAATTCCACACAACTTGAGCAGGCCTTGAGAAATAGGAAGCTAATTTTCCTTGTAGCTCTGATGTAACCTCAAATTACATTCCCTATAATTAAAATTAAACTAAGCCACCATGGCATGTGTATACCTATGTAACAATCCTGCAGGATCAGCACATGTACCCCAGAACTTAAAGTATAATTTAAAAAATATATATATCAAAAAGAGAAATACCAAGCTGCATAATATTTATGTCATGAGACTTTATATTGCAGTAATAAAGATCTTAATTTATTTTAAAAAAATTAACTTTGGTAAGTATTTATTGTGTTAAATGTGTCCAATAGCAATGCTGTATTTAAAAGATTTCCCAGCAAAACAGGAGGTTAATGTGGATAGGACCGTCTTCAGGAGCAAGTTCCTGAAAGGTGTGTTTAAATATATTTGAATCTTACTTAAATATACAAAAGAGGAGCTTGTTATTTAAAGAAATTCTCTGGGAAAGAGTTCTTTTCTAAAGCAAATATCACCTCACGGTGTATCATTCTGTTATTCTAGGTTTCATGGGCTGACTCATTTTACTTAGAGCAATCTAATTACACTGACCTTTGTCTAGAATTGGGATTGATGAGGTCCTAGATCGATCCCCATCAAGTCCAGTTTCCTTTCACTGGTCTCTGGACAAGGACCGCCACAGCCCCGGCTGCCTGATGCAAACACACACCTTTGGTCTTCAGGGGCAGTGGTGAGACAATTCCAGTGGATCAATGAAAAGTCATCATCCTTGTTTGAGTGTTCTAAAGTGCATTTTTCAAATGAGTGATTTGGAAGTGTCATCTCTGTCTATGGCAAGGAGCCCTTTTTAGATTTTAAAGGCCTATGAATTTCAGTAACACTATGGCAACATGGAAACAAATGAGACATTTATTTTTTTTTGTCACAGTCAAAATCTGAAACAGATTTCAAAGAGGGTTTTTGGCTCCTCTCTCTTTCCGTTTTTTATTTTTTGTTTGTTTGTTTGTTTTTAATGATTACAATAGACATTTATTTAAAGTAAAACATTTGCAGACAAAATAATTCTTAAATTTTATGTTTCAGGTTTTACCATCTTCATAAAAATACTAGAGGACAGCTGCATCCACAGACATCAAAATACGTGATGACTTCTTTGACCATTCTTCTCAGTCTTTTCTTTCCCAAATAAGCACTTTCAGATACGGTTCAAGGTAGAATTATCCTCTTCGTGTTTGGTCCGCTGCTCTTAAGGCAAGATCTGCTGTCTCAGAGTCAGATCCAGGGTTCTGATGTGAAACATCCTGCCATTAGAAAGTCCTCTTACAGCTTCCTTTACGTCTTTATCCTTTTACATCGTCTCATCTCACGTTTACCCATTTCTTGAATCCTGCAGCATTGTAATATCATTTTCAAATACCATCCAGCCACCTGTCTGCTGCTGCAGTAGCCAACCTGCCAGCCATCTTCACCCAAACGTGAAATATTGCCTTCTCTCTCTCTTTTTATTTATTTATCTAATTTATTTTATTTTATTTTTGAGATGGAGTTTTCACTCTTGCTGCCCAGGCTGCAGTGCAATGGCACAACCTCAGCTCACTGCAACCTCTACTTCCCAGGTTCAAGTGATTCTCCTGCGTCAGCCTCCCAAGTAGCCAGGACTACAGGCATGTGCCACCATGCCCAGCTAATTTTTGTATTTTTAGTAGAGATGGGTTTCACCCTGTTAGCCAGGATGGTCTTGATCTCCTGACATCTTGATCTGCCTGCCTCCGCCTCCCAGAGTGCTGGGATTACAGGTGTGAGGTACCATGCCTGGCCTCTCTTTTTAAACTTTGTTGTTTGAAAATATAATTTCAGAATGTAAGTGATAAGAATGAGTAGGAGATTTTTTTAATTACTCAGAAGCCAAAAAGACATCCCCAAATTGTTAGGTGTTTTCTTTCTGAAGGTACAGCTTTATCTTCTGCTTAAAAAGTCTTAGACTTGATGGCTTTTGGTCAAAGATCATTACAGGGTTTACAAACTCTACACTCAATAGTGTAAGAAAAAAATATGTACATGTAGAAAAAAATGTGGGAAGAAAATATGCTCAACTATTCACAGTAGATAGTTATTGCTGAGTGGTATGAATGTGGCTGATTATTCCTTACTTTGTATACTTTTCTGTGTTTAACGCAATGGACATATATAAGTTTATTTACAAAACAGTTTTAAAAAATATTTATAAAACATTACTAGAAGTACAAACTAGCACTGATTTCAGAGCATGAAAAATGTTACTCTTTGCAAAACAATTTCACAAATGACCAGCAATATCATTTTGATGTCTAAAATTATTAATTCCAAGTTTTTAAAGGAGCTAATACAGAAAGACCGAAAGTTACATACATGTCTAATTTACCTTTGTTTTTCCCCTCAATTTGATCTTAAATGAATAGATTCAAGTAACCCCCCACCCCTCGCCAAGAAACAGGTGCTTCAAAGGCCAAAATAAAATATCGTATTTAAGGTTATCCAGTTCTAGAACTCTGTAACTCAGTCCGCCTTGACTTGAGTAACCCTATGACATCACGTTGGGAGTGTAGCTGTGAGCATGGTTTAGGAGTAGATGCCATATTGGTTGATCTGTGTAAGCTTGACCCAACAGGGTTGTCTTCATTGATTCCATGCAATTATCCTATAATATGTATTTAGTATAGCCAACTTGTTTAATAATTTTGTTGGAAGACTTAGTCCTAAAGATTGATATCTAGTTTTGAGTCACAACCCTCCAATATGGGGTAGACTAGGTATAAATTTAAGCCTCACAGTTGTATATCTGGGCCTTGAGTAATTTTGCTCCATGGCTCACTGAGGATGTGGTAAGGGGAAGTCTACAATTTCAGCCTATTTAATTGTGTTCATATAAACATCATCCTATTAATAAAGTCATGATTTCTGCCCAGTTGCCATCTTCCAAGAGAGCAAAAAGAGAAGTATT